TAAAATTCCTAGTTTCCTATGAAAGTCTGAAAAGATCAATCCGACAAAATGGCACATCTGTCACTTCGGGTATGGTGGCTTCATCTGTCACTGAAATTGGGCGAGGGTAAATTTAATAGGAAAGGATAACTCGACAGGTTTTCCGATCCTTTCAATCTTGAAATATTTTACACTATAAAGTTGCAGTAATTCCAGTATAATTTAAATTTTTTTTTTTTTTACCAATTGCCGAGTCAACAATTGTGTGCCAATTCACTATCATTTGGGTAATTCACTGGATAGTAAATCCACACCTTTCGGGCTCGGTTACTCAATATAGACCTATAGTTGAAAGATTGTGCAATGCCGACAAGACTCAAAATACACTCTATAGAGAGGTTACTTTATAGTGTCAATTACTGTAACATTACATTTTGATTCGTACTATACAATTCGCCCATTTCCGATTTAAAAAAAAAAAAGGCAATGTTTAATAATCTTTATTTCCAAGGAAATTCGTCAAGGTGTCTTTCTGGAGGTGCAGTGGTGCCTACAATGAATATAAAATTTCAATCACTAATTTGAATCCATTAATATGAAAGTCAATATAATAAATTCGAATTGGACTGCAATGGGGGTACGGTGTATAAAGCAACTGGCCTTTTTTTTGCTAGTGACGACATCCCGATATTTCGGATACTGCAAGACGGTTTGCGAGCTCTGCCCATCTTTCAGAGAGTCCAAAACAGACAAAAATTGAGAATTTGATGTAAATTCAACACTTTCAGGTTGTCAAGTTATGATTTAGATGTAATTAATTTACCTCCTGGACGTCTGTCTGCTAATAACTGACAGACCACGAACTTTTTCATATATTGGTTCTGTACTGGTTGAGTCAGCAAATTCTGTATATAATGCTCTAATAGTAGCTTTTATTGGTTAAGGCTTGAAATCTAGAAAAGGATTATTAAATGAAGACGGGCTTTAAATTGTAACCAAATCTGTACGATTTAGATATCGCGTCTAGCATAATACTCCAGTGCCACGAACGTAGGAGACGAGTTCTTGTAATTAATGTCTGATGATTTTTTAGAAAGGCAAGTGCAACAACTCAGGAACCATGTATAAATCATTCTTACTTTTCTCTAACGAATGGGAACCGGGTTGAAATATCTATCCTAAGTTATTATCTCGACCTCTGCTATGATTGAAACCTGGCCCTTCAGGTTAGAGAAAAGGCGTCTTACTCATCGATCCTCCGCGGCTGCCCTAGGTTTCAGTTTTGATCTATAGTTTTCGACGCAAATTTAAGCCCTAAAATATATTGATGAGATGTTCCATGAATGAACAATGGTGACTTTCGAAATTATAGGAGATCCCCAAATTATTCATACCAAAATTTCAACCAAGCAGGATTAAAACTCTAGCTAATTTTGGTAGAAAATAAAGGCTTTTTTTTTTAGCTCTATTTGACCCACAATATTTGAAAAACATGCTGTTATTGCATGCAATTTCTGCCATTCGTAGACTCTGGTGGCTTTCTTGGGAAACTTTCCTTGCACACTGTATAGCATTTCTCGTGTTCACGAATCCGATTGGAAGCGTTGGATGTAAAATCCAAAGTCCAAAATAATTGGTCGCTGAAACGAATCCCTCCACTACCAAAACATATCACCCAAACTCAGACTCGTTATGACCTACTCGATTTGCACGTGCATGTTATAAATAAATAGAAGACACTCTCAGTCAGAATTTATTGTCACCACAGATCTTGAGGAAATAGAGGACGTGTCTCTTCACAACTACAGGTAAATAATGTCTGTATTTATATATAACATGATGATATACTTTAAATATATTCTGATCTGTAGTCAACTCTCACCGTGTTCAAGTTGATTTTATTTACTATATCTTGTAATAAACTGGTAGTAGATCTTGACCAATATATCCTAATGATACCATAATGTATATTTTTAGATTGTCAACATGAAACTTACATTGGTAGTATTAATAGCAGTATTGGTCACCGCTGATGCCTGGTGGTTTGGTAAACGAGGTATGTACATTTTAACGTTCGTGGTACTGGAGTATTGCGCCGTAATCGTGTATAAGTTTGATTCCGTCATTAGGAATAAATGTATTGGGTATTTTAATCTCTTCCTTTTCTAGATTTCAAGCCTTCACCAATAAGAGCTGCTGTGAGAGCATTATGTACAGAATTTGCTGACTCAACCAGTACAGAACCAATATATGAAAAAGTTCGTGGTCTGTGTCAGTTAATAGCAGACAGACGTCCAGGAGGTAAATTACATAACTTGACAACCTGCGAGGGCAGGGAAAATCTTTACATCACATTCTCAAAGAACTAAAGCTTTGGTCTGCGTTACTCACTAACAAAACATTAATGGATCTTGCAGGCTATATTGTTTCAGTATGGTCTGCACTTTTCTACTACGGCTACTTTTTCTGTGCGAATCGCATAGGATTGAGTTTAGCCGTACATTATAAACTTTTATTCTTTGTATTATAGGCAAACCACCATCAGAAAGACGCCTTGACGCTGAATTTTCCTGGTAATAAAATATTAATATTATAACATGTCCTTTTCTTTCTGGTTAAACTTATGAAATAATCCGGATATACTAGTGTACTGAGCTTTATTGATTCCAAGCTGTTCAGAATAAAACCCCCAGTCGTCTTGAAACTAAGGGGAACATGCGAACGTTTCAGCAAGTGTAAGATAAAGGATTTTTTTTCTCCGAAAAGTATTCATTTGATATGAAATCCAAAATATACGCATGTAGGATCCTTTCTTATTCCTCTACAAACCATGTAAAAGGTCCCAGGCTGACAGGTTTTCTAGATAAGTATTGCGGCATACAGTGTACGGGTTATGTTTCAGCTATATAGTTTACAAGTCCACACTGAACAATCCACTCAAATCGGTTCACCCTGCTCTGTTCACCCTGCTCTATCCTCTTTATGCTTTATTTATTGGTGAGCTATTTCAACTCATCACTCTGAACATACTTACTTCTTATATTTTGGTCATTTCGCCAGTTTTTATATTTTTTTCCTTTACCTGGTTTTGGCGAGAAATTTTGATTTCATATTTCATGGATTGTACATGTATGGATTAATTGGATAGTTAGAAAATAGATCAATTAGTTTAAAGGTATGTTATACTGATTATATTCTGTAGGTTGTTTCTGTAAAGGTATAACAAGATTAGGCAATAGTGTATTGATAGTAGAAAGTGTACGGCCGCCATCTTTGATTTTTGATATATTACATATAATTCAACTGTATATTATAATGCTTGTCTCACACTGTGGCGAATTTGCTATGCATGGAATCTACCTGCTCTACAGAAATAACCTAAGAACCTTGATTATTGGATGCTCTAACCCGAACCGAATTACCAACACTACTTCAGACACCGAAATACATTCG